CAGCGGGGAGGGCAGGACGAGTCTTTCTGTCATGGCTGTGGACGTTGCGATAAACCTTAGCTGAGTTGTCTCTTTTTTTTTTTTTTTTTTTTGAGACAGAGTCTCACTCTGTTGTCCCGGCTCAAGTGCCGTGGCGTCAGCCTAGCTCACAGCAGCCTCCAACTCCTGGGCTCAAGCGATCCTCCTGCCTCAGCCTCCCGAGTAGCTGGGACTACAGGCATGCGCCACCATGCCTGGCTAATTTTTTCTATATATTTTTAGTTGTCTAATTAATTTCTTTCTATTTTTAGTAGAGACGGGGTCTCACTCTTGCTCAGCCTGGTTTCAAACTCCTGACCTTGAACGAGCCACCTGCCTCTCAGAGTGCTAGGATTACAGGCATGAGCCACCGCGCCCGGCCTTAGCTGAGTTGTCTCTTAAATGACTTGATTCAGGACTGCAGAAATTGCTACAGGAGCATTCTCAATCCACAGATTTCTTGGCCTTTGACTTGAGATTCTCATAGTCTATGTTCAGAGATCACCTCAACTACCTAAAACCTCAGTATACGTAGATTTTGAAAGATGTTAGGTGACAGAGAATGGGCCAGTGAAAGTTTTGTTGCCATCATTTTTCTTAAAAATTATAAAAGAAAATCATTGTTAATTTTTGCTTAAAAAACCATGTGGATATTTTTAATTCATTGAAACATATGGGAAAGGGAGTTGCAGCAATACATTCGCAGCTAAAGTGGCTTCAGCTGGCTACCAGTTTTGGAAGGTTAACATTCATGACTTAGTATTTTAGTACTTCTCTCCAATTCATGCGAAGTTGGATTTTCCCCTCCTTGCTTCGTGAATATAAACCTATCAAGAATGTGTTTTCATCCGGAAAACAGCTTTTGTGCCTGTAGCCTCTTTCCCACACAAATGAAAACAGTGGGAACGCTTTGTAGATGTTGCAACCAAACCCAGTTGTGTAACCATACGGATTATTCAGCAGGCGGGGCAGTGTCTGCGTGGACGCTGCCAAGGGAGAACAACAGTGTGTATTCACGCAGTCCGGAGCACGCCTGTACAGGAGGCCGTTTTCCTTCCAGCTCCAGAGGTACGCGGGCGGCAGTCTGTTGATCATACGTAGAGAAACAAGAAGTAAGACTCCAAGCAAGCGAAACATTTTTAGATAAAATACAATGGTTGGGAGGTAGGGAAGGGGTTGAATGAAAGAAAGAACATTTGATGTTTGCTAAATATTTTCTCTTTAGTCCTACTGATAGAAAATAGCCTGTGAAAGTTTTCCCCAAAGTCATGCGCAAACACATGAAGCTTAGCAGTTTGTCCATTGTAGCTTTTGTTAAACTCTGGTTTTGGAATCTGTGGTCTTTGTTCTTGTGTTTTGGAGGACTGGATTTTAAGCTGCAGGCTTATAGTGCTTATGGTTTACTCTTTACTGGCTCGGATGCCTTTCGCAACGCGGGATTGTTATTAACTCAACCTTTCACGATGCTGTGTGGAAGACCCCCAGTCTGACGAGCTGAAAAGAGCAACATTTGTAGGATATTTCCCCAACGTCCAGAGTGATGTGATGTGGTGTCTTACGTTCTTCAAGCCATGCATTGGGAATTTACTCTTAAACGATTGCTTTTGCATCCCACTTACGAGTGGCTTCACACAGCACGTGGAGGAGCATCATATGGGTGCCTGGTTGGGATCACGTGTGCGAGCCCCTGCCACCCACGAGCTCTCCTTGTAACGGAGAAGTTTCCTCAACACAAGGCAGAGAAGTGCAGGGTCGTCCGCCAGGGAGGCTGTGAGACGTCTGGTGCGGGCTGCATGTGCCGTGGGAGGGTGGGAGGGACGGGGACCTCTGAGCCGTGGCCTCGTACGTGGAGGAGGCGGGAGGAGATGTGGGTGCAGGGTGGGCAGTCACAGACGCCGTGCTAGCTGTCACCCGCGCCATCTAGCGCCCCTTTTCCTACCTGCCTCCAAGCCCATAGCCCCTGGAGAGCATACCGAAATTATCCCGTCTCTCCGGCTAGGTCGTGAGTGGGCGTGGCTTGTGGGTCGTTGACCTTTGTGGCATTTCGCATCCCCTAAATCCCTGGCAGTGTGTCCCACACAAAAAAATAAATAATTTTTTTTAAAAAAAGTCTGAACTGAAAGGACATGGTATGAAATAGAATTCTTACTGAAACTATTCATTCCTTAGTGTTAATTCAGTTCTTTTATTTTCAAATACAGATTTTCACAGTTTTAGAGTAAAAGCACGTTGGATACAAACCACCTACCAATCATGCATTACGTTTTCTATGCCTTACTGACTTTCCAACGTGGGGAAGGCTGGGAGTGAGCAGGAGGAGGAGGGGAAATGAGTTTGCTAACAAATTCCTGCCCTGAAATGAAAGTCTCTGCTGCTGTATGTCTTAAGGTCCCTAAGGGAACTAGACGTGGTTTCAGAGTGGTTGCTTTGTTTCTAGCCCAAAGCCCCTACTGTCATTATTAAAATACAATAGTGCGGCAATATCCCCTTCTCTTGCTAGTGCACACAATTGCAAGAGGAAAGCCAGAGTGGCTGGCCTTTGCGTGAAAGCAGCTCTCGAGGTATGCATTTTGAAATTCAACGTGATCTTCCATTTGTTGCATCCTTCCTAATTGTGAAAAAAGAGTTAAACAGTACATTGACTAGGCGTATTTATTAGGGCCTGTCTCTTGCTCTGTCTTGTCTCTGACCCTCCCCCGAAACAGCGAGGCAGGCACCTGCTCTGGCCCAGACGCCAGGGGCCCCACAGGAGTGACACCGGCTCCCACCTGCAAGGTGCTCACTGCAGCGATGCCCCCGGGAGCAGCTTGAGCCTTCTCAGACTCAGTCCCTGCCCGGGACGGGTGCTGAGAGTCACTTGCAATCACTGCTGGTGGTGGGAGGGCAGTCGGTAACGTTCTAAACAAAACCCCAAGCCAGGCAGGTCGTTTAAATGACACAACTTAAACGTTGACTCGAGAAGCATAATTTCAGTAAAGGATGATCCTTGTGTATGAAGCCAAGCGGCATGCAGGTGCTTGGCGTACCTCTGATTGTGAGTCCATACGTTGTAATTGTCCTGCACCTGGTGTGTACTTGGCCAGAAACACACAGCCGACAGAGGGGATGAGATCCGGGATCCTGGCCCAGCCCGTCCAGAACCCGGCGCTGTGCTCACCACAGCTGTTCTGCACTGAGTCCGTCGTCTGCACAGCCACCGGATGCGAGGAGACCGCAGTGTGCCCAAGCGGGGGAAGACACTTACAAAGTCATGGCAGGGTGTCCGTCACGCGCCACTGCCTGCTCTATCTCCCGTGGCCACGGGGTTTCTGCTGCCAGAGGAGCGTGTCAGCCTTCCGAGGGCAGGAGGGCCCTCAAGTCCAGCAAACAGGATGGAAATTTATGGCACTGCCAAAACTCTTCCTCTCTACTGAAGAAATGTCTGGTCTGAACCTAATTTATCATCTTCAGTTCTATTGCATACAGAATTGAGTAATAATTTCTGCTGTTGGAGAAGCTCTGGCTGTAGGATTAGGAGATGAGATGGAAGACAGAGGAAGAGGTCAGACCTTTGGCCACAGAAGTGCAGCCCCCCGTGATGTCACCCCACAGATACTGGTGGCGTTCCCCATCCGTGAGTGCTGAAGACTGGGTAGATCACAGTAATGTAAGAGGGGTCGGTATTGCTCACTGCACAGAAAGCCAGTTGCTGACACAGTGAGGACTGTCAAGGGAGGAAGGATTTATTGCAGAGGATGCGTCAGCTGGGAGCTGGGAGGTGGGAGGTACAGAGTATCGCAAAGCCTCCTCCCTGACCAGCGGGGTCAGGGGTTTTCCTGAAGGTGAAATGAGCAATGCATGAGGGAGGGAGCATCAGCGCATGTCGGATGCAGGGCTGGCAAGTGCCATGCAGATCATGCTGGTATCAATACACACCTCGCACGATCAGAAAATACGGTGGCTAAGTCCCTTAGTAGTGTAATGAGTTAGGGGTTAATGTCGGTCATTCTCTCAGGCTGTGCGCAGGTGGGGGGGGGGTAGTGGGCTGCTCCGTGAGTCCCTGGGCACAGTGTGTGGTGTGGGGGGGTCACTTGTCTTCTCGGGACAAGCAGGTGGTGTAAGCTTTGTACTTATCTCAAGCCTGCAAGGAGATTCCACCGTTTCTGGGAAAGAAACTGAAAAGGGATGCCTCAGTACACAGAAAGTTACAAAGTTTTGGTCAGCAAGTCTTACTGAGTCTGCTAAGCTGTTTTCCTTCCTGACCGTGAAGCGGCAGTTGCCAAGTTACTGGTGTTGAGATAAAGCTCACTGTCTGCGATTCAAGGCCACTGGGAGCGGCCAGCTCTAGTCACAAGGCGAACACTGGACACTCATTTGAAATGGAAAGACGGTCAGAAAACTTCTTGCTGACGGAGCCGGTCACAATCACGCAGAGCAGAGCGCGCTAGGTGACAGGTGACGAAGCTCAGAGGAGCGTGGGCGGCCACGTGGAGGGAAAGGAGTGTCCCGGAAGCCGACACGGAGTTAGGAGACCGCCAGGCCGACGGTGGAGGGGTCCTTCAGGGGCCAGCGGAGCCCAGGCCGTGACCACCGACAGAGGCTGGGAGCCTTTTCGCTGGAAGAGAAGGGCTCAGGGAACAGCCCGGTGAACAGTCAGGTCACCTACACTGGAGAAAGGTGACGGGTGGAAGGAAGGAGACCTTGTAGTAGTAAACGAAGGAAACTTCAATCAGTTTTTGAACTCTGTGACATAATATGATGCAAACGAAACATAAGAAACTTATTTGTTGCTACTAAGAGCTATGTGTTTTAATGGCAAAAATAACAAATTTATTTTGTTATTTCTGTGAAATGTATAATTCAACATTTGGAACATCTTCTGGTTGCGTTTAAGATCGAGTAGGTTTGTGTTTTAGCTGGCCTGCTAACGTTTTGTGAACAGTATTTTTCAAGTATGCATGCCAGTGTGCTAATATTTATCTGCACATGTTTTTTTCAAACAGGTTCTTAGCCCAGCACCAGCCGTATGGACGCCGGGCGGGCGCGCCCCGCGGCCTGCCCTGAGCAGCGCGCCGGCTGGTAGAAGGCGCCCCGGCAGCCCGCGTCTCTGTGGCCTTACGGAGCAAGCGAGGAAGATGGCCCGCCGGCAGAGCCATCTGACTGTGTGCTTCCTACCTTCTGTGCCCTTGTTGATCCTCGTGTCCACTCTGGCAGCCGCTGAGAGTGCGGCCAACAGCACTTTAAATGGCACCGCCGCCGTCCCGGGCTCTGTGCCCGTCGTCATCGCCAGGACCGACCATATCATAGTCAAGGAGGGGAACAGTGCCTTGATCAACTGCAGCGTGCACGGCAGCCCCGAGCCGCGCTTCCAGTGGTACAATTCCGTCGGCAAGCTGCTGAAGGAAGAGGAGGAGGAGAAGCAGCGAGGAGGAGGTAGGCGTTAAAGTTGTGTCCGGTGTCATAGAATGCCAACGCGGGCTTCGGAGCCTGCGCCCTGAATGTTAGTGGTTCTCATGCAAGTCGTTGAAAGACCTCATTGGGTCCTGGTTTTCTAAGGCGGGAGAGAGGATATGTGTTCTTAGGATGCAAAGCAGTAATTCACTCGTTTTTTTTTTTCCCCTCATTGACTCAGAAGACAAAGGACAAACATTGAAGTCTTTTCAAGGGCCTCTTGGAATTCTGGAATGTAAGCTGTGGTCCCCAACCCCTGGGCCGCAGCCCGGTACCCGTCAGTGGCCTGCCAGGAAACGGGGCTCGTGTCAGCATCTGAGCTGCGCACTGTCCACCCCCCCCCCGCACGCCCCAGCCACGACGCCCGCCCCTCCCCCTCGCTCGGGCCGGGGGAGATTGTCTTCCATGAAACTGGTGCCTGGTGCCAAAAGGGTCGGGGACCACTGAATGCATTGAAAACGTCAGACAAATGCAGGATGGATTTTCCCTAAGTATGTGTTATGCATTTGTAAGGGAGTTTTGTTTTCTTTCATGGAAACGGTTCGAATAAACAACGTAGCAGTTGTTTATCAGCAGATGTCGGTTTAATTCACTGACTGTGAATTTGAAGACCACACAGCCTAAAAGAAGTCTCTGTGCAAGTTCTCAGTCACCGGCCGGGATCGTTCTGTTCCTGGAGACCTGGCTGAGGCTTCCAGACCGAGGCCAAGAAGGAGGGAGGACGTATTAATAATAATAATAGGAGAGTGCTTGGTTTTTAATGAGTGGGTTTCTGGCCAACACCTGTGACTCACCTTGCTGGGCACCGAGCTGCCTTGGGGGAAGACTGTAGCTTGAGAGAGGGCTGGGTCATCGGGGATCAGAACGTTTCTTGTTTGAGATGTGAGAAGTGATTGTCTGGAAACCCCGCTGCTCTGAGTGGCCGGAAGGAGCTAAGCCACTGTGCTCAGCACTTACTGGGTGATGAAGTGGGCGGTCGGGGCGGGGAGTGAAAAGACCATTGTTCCCAAGGAGCAGCTTGTTTCTTCCATGCACGTCACCCTCCCGTCCACAGCCCTGTCACCAAGGAGCCATCCCCAGAAGAGTTTCTGCTCCGGGAGAAGCTACATTTTTAATCTTTGCCTCATTTTGTCTTAATGGCCCTGAAAAAAGGAATCGAGGCTAATGCCTCTGTCTTCTTAGGAGCCCAGCGAACGCAGTTTTGCGGTGATTGCTCACTGCTGGTGCTGAGAGGCCGCCGCGTGCCGAGGGACCAGGGCTGCAGCCGCTCGACCCCCCAGGACGTGGGGTCGCTGTGCTGCTGTCACCAGTGTCGCGTTGGCTTGGCCGTTCGAGGTTGTGCAGCGTCGGGAAGCTGCTTCCCTTACGTCAAAATGTGTATAGTATCGATCACATTTAACCCGGGAGAATGGGACTCTCTCCCCACCAAGTAAAATTGGGGAACCACAGAAATTTTAAATTAGAAGGGACCTTAGAGACATTATAGTCCGAATCCCCTCTTGCTGAAATTTGCCCCAAATCCTGCTGCTGGTAAGGGGCTGTGACCAGAGGCCTCACTACTGTCGGCGGAAAGCTGAGGGAGCACTGCCCTAGCCCGCAGCTAGCGTCCCTTCGAGTCACAGGGCAGTGCTGTCACCCTTGCAAAGGGAGGGCAGTAACCATGGCGACACAGACGCCGTGTCGGGGCTGCTGCCAGGGATATCGGGGTGACTGGTTGGAGAGGGGGAGCAAGGCCTCCGGACCCGGACCTGCCTGCCTTCACGTGGGCCCGAAGCAGCGGCACACTAAGGAGCTGGGACCGGGACACTAGACTCCTGAGTCCTAAAGTGGAAGAAAGCCAGGGGGGCGGCATAGTGCTGGGGCCCGAGGTTCAGTCGCAGCGTTTTGAGTGTTGTCCCAAAGCGTAGCGCCTTACTGCTTCGGCGACAGACAAGGCCCTGGGACTGCTGGCGTGGTCTTGGCAAGCGTCTTGGTCCCTTCTGTCTCCATATATATATATTGAGGTTGTCGAACTAGAACTAGGTGGGAGTCATGTTTGGCTCCGTTTTCTTTTGATTATAGCCGGTCTATACTAGTAGCACATCAGTCACCCCCAAGCTGGTGGTGGCCAGTCGAAAGCTTTTGACGCAGGGAACTGCTCCGGCAGAATTGGGCACTCCCGTCTGGTTTGTAGCCAGCAGCCTCACTGATGAATCAGCTATTTTAAATCTCTTAAGGAAGATGCGCTTCCAATTTTTAAAAAGAACTTGTGATACTAGTACTTGATGTTCCAGCTCAGCTTTTGTAATCACAGTGCATAATAATTGTAATTTCAGAGCACAAGTAGCATGGGGCAATGTACCTAACAACCAAGCAACACGCAGAAAATAGCAGAAATGAGAGATTCCTCCTAAGAAAATATTAGTGTTAGTGCTGGAATGGCTTGTTAGAACCCATATGTGGTCTTTAACTTTTCCTTTCTGTTGGGGGAAATGCCCACATTGTGACACGGGTGGAGATTTCAGTTTTCAGGCCAGTAGGCTAGAAGTTTAAATGGAGCAGTGTTTTATTTATAGCTCAAAGAGGTGGCTGAATATCGTATGAAAAATGATGCTAAATATTCTAGAACCTAACCTAGGTACCCTAGGACTACTGTTACAGCCGGACTAGCAACATTAACATCTTAATTAACTACTGCCGTTTATGAAGCCCTCGTGCCAATTCACATATGTTATTTCTAATCCTCATGATGAGAATGACGGTGAGATGTCATTAATCCCTGCACATACCAATGAGAGACCGGTGAATGGAGAGGATGTTGCAGAGCCAGAGTGTGGCCAGCATTATCCCTTAGGTATCTGCAGGTGACAAATGTTGAGGAGCATGTAACCCAGACTGAGTGAATTTGAACAGAATTCCTGGATGGAAAAGGCTCTATAACCATAGCGTCAAAGTTAGACAGCGCTAGGGTTTGTGCCGAGACTTGTGCGTGTACATGGCGTGCACACACAAAAAACATGTGTTCAGGGTCACCTGGTAAGTTGCTCAAGAAGCACACTACCCCTCGCTCTGTGAGGAAAGCAGCAGTTTCATCTCACCTGTGCCAAAACGGCGAGAGAGCCGTTGTTCACGCTGCCCCTCCCATCCCAGAAAGAACGGGCTGTTTCCTGCCGTTGGCGGAGCGGCAGCTGGTTCGCTTTGCTTCCCTGTGCTTGTCAGTTCAGTTCCGCAGATCAGGAGAAGCTAATGCGTAATCTGTATCTGGAGGATTCGGGGGGATATTCACCAAAGACCGTGTTTGGGTGGTCCACCAGCTGTGTTGCCAAAACAGCTCAGAATTCAAACAACATGATTGACCACAACTGGCCACAAACTGTGCTGTTGTCAGTTTTCCTCTGTCTAGAAGTGAGTAGAAATGTATATTTGCTGGGAAGTATTATGAAAAAGTCCTAATTATTTCAGGTGCTAATTATCCAGTGTATTTTTGCTGTGGCTTCCTGCGGTGACTTTAAACCATTGAAATTCACATTAGCACCTTTGTCAGATGATGAGTAACAAGCTATTCTCAAGAAAGTCAGCTCTGTACAGGTGGGTCCTTGTCAACATGCCTGGCTTGTTAGGGATTGTTTGAAATTCTTCCTTTAAGGTAGGTTTCCAATTTTTTGTGGGTTTGTTTTCCATGCTCTCGTAGTGTCCTGTCCCCAGAAACAATTAGGGATTTTCTTTAATAATAAGTATGCACAGGAGTAAATCTAGCTGAATTGTGCAAAGTTCATAATTGTCACAACTACTGTAGCGTTGTGGGATTCGTTATTATAAATTTTATCTTTAGTTTACATTGCTGTATTGCTTTTACCCGTCTACTTTTGCAAATCCTTTGAATAGATTGCAATATGCCTTTTTCTTTTTAGCGTATTATGGGGGTACAAGTGTTAAGGTTACATATATTGCCCATGCCCCCCTCCCCCTTCAGGTAAGAGCTTCAAGCGCAATATGCCTTTTAACTAGTTCTACAAGGGACATCAGCAAGCTGTGCTGGCCAGTTGTTAGGACTCTGGTTATCACCTCCCTACTTTATAATGTATTTGTACCAGTGCCCACGGTAGTCAGTGTAAATTATCCTTTACCTCTAAGGTCAGTGTGAAATAGTGTATTAACCTATGAAAATATCATACTGCATTCCCTGTTTAGTACATTAAATACTTGAGATAAAAAAACTCATCAGGAGACATTAAACACAATGTTTGTAATTATGAATATACTATAGGAATTTCAGAAGAATCAACCTGTAGTCTTTCTTTGAGCAAGTTCCTTGACTTTTCTGAGCCAGTTTTCTCATCTGTGGAATAAAAATAATCCTTTTTTACTACCAAGTAAGGTTGTGGGTCTGAAATTATATACTGAATGCTTAGCACAGTACCTGCCATGCTCTCAGTAACGACAGCTGCCGTTGTCATTGTCATTTTTGTACTCTATCCTCATAGTAATAGATTTCAGATGCTCAGATCCCTGTTTCTCAATATAGTGTTTTGTAAAGAAAGGAAACAGTTTTCTTGGTAATTCTTCCTATCTCAATGTCTCAACCTTTTAAAAGCTCAGTAAATACAAAATAAATTTGTGTCCCTTACATGTTATGTGAAATTTCAATGTGTTGTGGCTCCACTGTAGCAAGTTTGGAACTCTCCCCTCTGTCAGGGGACGAAGGGCCCTTTGACGTCCACTGTACTTCTACCTCTGAAAAAGGCATGAATGTGGAAATTACGAAGTATATTATTGCACAAGATGAACTTTACATTTGCCTAACCCAGGGGTTCTTAACTGGGACCTGTTCCCCCCACCCCACCACCACCACCAAGAGGACGTGGGAAGGTCTGAAGACATTTCTGGTTGCCGCAACAAGGATTGGGGGGTGGGAGGGTCTGCCACTGGCATCCAGCGGGCAGAGGCCAGGTACTGCCTGTGGTGCTGACGTGGAGAAACCCGGTCAAACCTGAAAGAGCACC